GTTTCAAGGGCCATACTTAAGGTTTGTAGGGTTCGAGGACTTTCATAGTGCAATGGAGATTCAACACAGCGGCCGTGTCCAGGGCAATGTTGATCTCATCCGTGAGCCTGAGAATAACAGGATTTGATTTCGGATTTGGGAAACAAGTGGGATGCTGGTCTACTGTGTTAAGCCTTGGGACTTGGGTGTCAAGCGGATCGTGGACGTAGCTTTGAGCATAGACATGTTGTCGTAATGCTGCTCCATGGCATCAGCATGTTTGCGCAGGGCACTGGCTTGCCTGAATCACTTCAGACAGATGATGTGAAAAGCTGTAATCCTATTCTAAATGGAGAAGATCAATAGTGGCCTCATGTGCAGATCCAAAACCTCCTGGTCATCCTTGCCATCCGTCAGGGACATCAAATCTGCAGCTTCACGAAGCCGATGGATTTTTGTGAGCATCTCATCCCACCCCCGCTTGAGATTCTCACGTGGATCCTCAGAACATGGAACTGAGACTTTGGATTGGTTTGCATGGTGGGGTGCTGTTAAGGGCTTGGGTTGATAGGGGTGGTGCATGAGGCATTTATTCGCCCTAGTTAGAGGCAAGCACATCCCCTCTTCTAGCAAGAAGATTTGATCACATGATCCCTGTCCAGCACAGCATGTTTTCAAACCCCCACCAGGTCCAGCCCTGTAAAGCCTCAAAACCCTTTAAACCTCGGGAACCTTAAACCCAGTGAACCTTATAAACCCCAGCCCATGGCTACAATCCCTTGCACCAGGCTGCCTCGGATCCCATTATCTTCGCATCAGCCGCCTCTTGCTGCTTATTGCCGCCAGGCCCATTCTCGAAGTCAAGATCGGGGGTGGGAAGGTCCTTGTCATGGAACTTGACTTGATCCTGGATTTCCTTCTCCAAATCCCGGTCCACAAGCTCCCCAGACCACGATGTCTCGACCCAATGCTCGATCACAGACTCATCATACTTGTTCTTCCTTGGGTAAATACAGATTCAAGGAAAGATATTTGTTTCAAGACATTAAAGCAGGGAAGAATATGTGGAGCTTAGAAACCGCTGGAGCTTGCCTGGATTGCGGCTCGTGTACGCCACAATCTTCTTGATCTTCTCCCTGGGCTAGCAGAAATTGTTTGACCATGTGGAGCGGACTGATCTTACTAACATGTACATCCCAGGCGCGCAGAGTACTGCAGGACCTCCTTCATGGCATCCTCGGAGTACCATCCAGCCTCCACCCGAAGACTCTTTTCCCTCTCCTTCACAACCATCTTCTTGACCCGGGTCGCGAACGTTTTCTGCAGCAGCAAAAGCAAGAAGCTAGCATGCATAGAGTAAGGTTGTGTTTACTTTATTACATGAGTGACATGTAGAGTCTCCAGTCCTTGTCAAAGTTCGCCTCAATGAGCTGGCGGGCAAGCTCCAAGCGCTTGTCAGTGTCTCGATACAACTCCAGCGCCTCATCCCCACCAGGCACCTTTCCGTTTTTCTTGCGCTGGCAGGCTCTGCGCAGCCTTTGCATGATAGCGGCCTCCGTCAGAACCTCGGAATCCAGGATGGATAAGTTGCGCAAGTGATGTTTGAACAAATGTCGAGGGACTGAGAGCAGACAGGAAACCTTCTTGGTCTTGGGACATAGGACAGTGCCAAGCCCCAAACCCAAATCTCCGTCATTCATGGCATGATCATCCTCTGACTCTGACGCGGTGGCAGCATCAGAAGACGCAGCAATTGAACAGGGCTTCTTGGCATCGCTAGCAGGCTTTGGAGGGACCCGGCCAGCATTGAGCATATTCAATCGCTTCCTGACCTCAGCTTGCCGCTCTTGCAGCATTCTCTCCTCCTCCTCGAGCTGCTTCAGCTCATCATCGCTCAGTGAGTCCTGGTTCTGGGAAGGTTCATGGATTAAGAGGGTAGATGACCTTTATGGGATGAATGAGAGTTTCTATGGGTTCACAGGGTTGAGATGTTTTGCATTTCTATGAAGGCCAGAAACATTCAGGTTATGGTCTGAGGTAAGCAGGCTCCTGACATATTGGAGTTGGGGTAGCACCCAAGAACCCAAATGAGTGGCAACCCTCTTCCCTCTAAAGCCCGCAAACCCCGTAATGAGTCAGACCCCATGCAGACCTAAACCCTGTAACCCCAAACCCCGGCCCGTGGCAAACTTTATCAAACCACATAATCGCAAATCCTTCACAAAGTGTATGAAACCCTACAACCCCAAATCCCTGGCCAACTCCATTAAACTCTATGACCTTAAATCCCTAACCCAAACCACCCAAACTACCCAAACATTTGCAAAGGTTCAGCGCCGTGAGCAACAGATGCAGGAGGCTTGGGGGCTTTGGCGCGGTCGGTCCGGGCACGCTTTGGGGTAGGGGTAGGCGTCCTGTCCCTTTCAGCGGAAGGAATGGGGCTGGGCGTAGTCGGGGCCTGGTTTTCAGAAGGGGTTGCCACAACTGTCTCATCAAAGGCATTTGCCAAGTTCTTCTTGGGGCTCTTGTTCAGGGTCCCATTCCTAGGGCTGCCATTGGCTTTCTGAAGGGTCAACCTTTTGGGGCTACGTCCTGGAATTCTCTTCTTCGGGGTCCCCTTTGCAGGGCTGGCAGCCTTTGTAGCAGACCGTCCACGACGTGTGGCAGGGCTGCGACCTTCCTTAGGCTGTTGATCACAAAGAAGTGGAGCCAGCAACATGCTACAGCATTGCCAGGGGGCATGTAGCTAATGAGTGCTAAGAAGGGGCAGGCTCCATCTTCATCTTCTTTGTAGGCTGACCATCATTGGCAGGCGGAGCTTCACTGCCACTATCAATTTTCTCACGCAGCTCCTTCAAATTTGTTTGCTGAAACTTTCATGAGAAATCACGACTTCATCATGGTGTAAGAATTCCACACAAGACTTATAAAGGGCTCCTTTATGCGGCGACGCAGATCCTTGGCCTCTTCGGGGGTCACATTCATGATCCCACGGTAACCCTGCTCGAGGTCTGAGCAAGACCAAAGCTTTGAGCCCAACATGGTTCTCCAACTAGCAGCATGTGTGCTTCAGGTGCCAGTGGCAACTAGCAGAGTTCCACGCAGAAGGTCACACGGGGAAAGCATATTTGCTCGTTCGCAGCACACGCTTCAGGTAAGAAACAATGACTCGCGAATAAGGCGGCCCATCCGAAACATCATACCAGTCCTGCAGAGGTACATCAACCGACATTCATTATGGATCATGGCAAACTTCCCACACTCAAGAAGCATGCATGGGTCCTCAAGCAAGGAGTGACGAGAAGCCACATATAATTCAGAGAGCACCTGAAAGGAATGCTCAATTTGCTTTTTGATTCCCGAGAAACCTCAAGCCAAAGTTCTGCATCCCAGGTATCCCAAACCCTAGCATCAACCTCTACATAGATACTACATTTTTTTACATACCTTAACTTGCAG